ACATTGAGTGTGAGCTTAATTGAGTTCTCACCTTGTTTTGAGAACAATCATTTGTCATATATTATGCTTATTGAGAGATTCACTTTGTAATACACTTGTACACCGAGTGAGGAGTGTGTGGTGAGAGTCGAGGATCGTCCCAAGAGGAGTGGCATCGGTTGACGTGCCTAGGGAGAGGTTGTAACCAAGCACTTGAGGGAGACACGGCTAGGTCCAACACTTAGTGGGTGTAGAGTGTGATTGCAAGAGTGTGAGTTGTAGAGTTTTCGGTTAGCTAGAAAACCGAGTGTGTAGAAGAAGTTCCGGCTTCCAAACCGGATTGTGTTAGTGGATTTCTCCCCGGGAGTGGGGAGCGGAGACGTAGGACGGAAGGTCCGAACTCCGTGATCATATTGCTTGTTTGAGTTTGTCTTTAGCGTAGTTTTTTTTTGCATTTATCTTATATCGCCAATTGTGCATTACTCATCCTTTTTATGATCCACTATCTAGTTTATATTGTTTACCCTTGTGCTAGTTTATATATCCTTGCATATACATTGCCTATATCTCTTGTTAGGGTATATCTTGTTGTTCACATTGCTTATCCTAGCTCACATATCTTGTTGTATTTCATATTGCTAGGATAACTTGTTAATTAATTTTAAATTGGCATTTAATCGGATTAGATTAGCATAAGACCCTAACCCCCCCCCCCCCTCTAGGGTCTAACAATCTTCACCATAGCCGATGAAAGTTCATTTCTTTGACTTGGGATCAAGCTTATTCCTACCTTGATCACTAATATGCACATAATCTATACAACCGAAAACTTTGAGATGTGAGAGTTTTACCTCCTTTCCGTACCATACCTCCTTTGGTATTCTGTGCTCCAATGGAACCGATAAACCTTGGTTGGTCAAGTAAGCTGTTGTATTGACCGCTTCTGCCTAGAATTGCTTCGGTAGGCCTGACTGTACCCGAATGCTTCTGGCTCTCTCTGTCAACGTTCGGTTCATCTGCTCAGCTACACCATTTTGCTGAGGCGTATTGGGCACGGTTCTCTCCATTATGATCCCTACTCATAGCAGAACTTCTTGAATCTGGTGTCTTCATAATCACTGTCATTGTCAGTCCTAAGCTTCTTTATTCTCAGACCGGTCTCATTCTCGACCATGGATTTCCATCTCCTAAAAGCTCCAAACACTTCTGACTTATACTTCAGAAAGTAGACCTACACTTTTCGAGAGTGATCATCGATAAAAGTCACGAAGTAGTGTTTTCCACCAATGGACACGGTGGTGGTTGGTCCCCAAACATCTAAGTGAATGAGCTCTAGCTTCTCTTTTCTGGGGGTTCTGCCACTTATCTGAAAGCTGACTCTCTTCTGCTTTCCAAGTATACATTCTTCACACATATCTAAATCAACTGATTCTAGACCTGGGAGTTTTCCCTTTATGTGCATGATCTTCATCCCATTCTCACTCATATGACCGAGTCTCTGGTGACACACTTTCCGAGAGTGATCATCGATAAAAGTCACGAAGTAGTGTTTTTCACCAATGGACACGGTGGTGGTTGGTCCCCAAACATCTGAGTGAACGAGCTCTAGCTTCTCTTTCCTAGAGGTTCTGCCACTTATCTGAAAGCTGACTCTCTTCTACTTTCCAAGTATGCATTCTTCACACATATATAAATTAACTGATTCTAAACCTGGGAGTTTTCCCTTTGTGTGCATAATCTTCATCCCCTTCTCACTCATATGACCGAGTCTCTGGTGCCACAGCTTTGAAGTCTTATTACCTGCTACAACTGAGATCAAACAACGTGCACCTGCTGTTATATACAAGGTACAAGTCTTTTTGTCTCAAGCAATCATCATTGTGCCTTTTGAGATCTTTTGATCATCTCCATGGAAGGTCGTAGTATATCCTTCACCAGCCAACTGGCCTACGGATATTAAGTTCTTTCTCAGGTCGGTAATATACCTGACATCCTTCAGCTCCCATACTGACCCGTTCAACTTAATTTTCACTATATCTTTGCCCACAATAGCACATGGTTGATCATCACTAAGGTATACGTATCCAAGATTTTCGGGAATATACTTCTCGAAGAATTCTGTCTAAGAAGTAGCATGGAACGACGCTCCTGAATCTAACACCTAATATTCCTCTTTGCTCTCCAAAGAGCATATCAATGTGTCGTCTCCTCCTGATGTGGAAGTGACATTCACCACTGCCTTCGCCTCCTCCTTTTGTGCACTCTTGCATTGATTCTTGTAATACCCGGTCTTTCCATAATTCCAACACTCGATAGCCTTCGAGCTGTTGCTTGGATTCCTTGACTTGGACTCCTGTCCTTTGATCTACCTTTGTAGTTTGATTTGCCTCGTCCGTTCTCTCTGGTTAAATTTTTATCTCTTGACTCTGTATGTAATACTGAAAAGGTTGTAGCGTCACCCAACTCTCTCCGTCGGATCTTCTCACTGAGAACCAGATCACGAACGTCGTCGAACTTCAACTTGTTGCTTCCCGATGAGCTACTCACAGCTGTGACTATAGCATTCCAACTCTCTGGTAATGAGGAAAAAATTATCAACGTCCGAACTTCTTCATCAAACTCAATTTTAACTGAACTCAATTGGGTTGTGACCGTATTGAGTTCATTGAGGTGTTGTGCTACTGATACGCCTTTCGTCATTCTCAGATTGAATAACCATAGCATCAAATAAACTTTATTCGCGGCTGATGGCTTCTCATACATATCTGATAGTGCTGCCATAAGACCCGCCGCGGTCTTCTCCTTCGCTATGTTAAACGCAACATTACGAGTCAACGTCAATCTGATAACTCCGAGAGCTTGTCTGTCTAGAAGGTTCCACTCATCCTCCTTCATCGACTCCGGCCTCTTCCCCGATAGTGGTTGATACAGATTTTTCTGATACAAATAATCATTTATCTGTATTTTTCAAAATCCGAAATCTATTCCATCAAACTTCTCAAGTCTCACTTTTCCTTTATATGAGGCCATGACTCCCACTTGAATCTGATTTCCTCTAGATCGTTTCAGACTCTGATACCAGTTGTTGGAGACTTTACGTTAAAACCCCTATGACAGCAGAAATGCGGTATAGAGGAAAGTATACTCAGATTTAACGAGGTTCGACAACTACCTACGTCATCGGGAGCCACACAATTAATTTCTTTTTAATTAACAAGAAATTACAAATCTCAGAACAGATCCCAAACTGAGATCTATTAATACAAACATTGTAGCTACAGTGTTAATAGTTCAAAGGGAATAATCCCTATTTAATGCTCTTGAGAAAAAAAAACCCTTTTTAATTTCCCTTCAATCTTGAGAGCTGGAACAAATTCACAAGGGGAGAGGAGAAAAATCGCTACTGTGCTTTTCTTTTGCTCCGCCGTCGCTGGAAAAACGAGAGGAATAGCCACCCTCACCCGAGCTCTGGGTTTCCCTTTTATAGGGAAACCCTAGGGTTACGCTGGCGACAGGCTGTCACCAGCCCACACGCAACTCACCTCCGAAGCTCGATCCTCGATCGCTCGTGCTCGAACCTCGTCCTCCGAAGTTCGTCTGCTCGAGCCTCGTTCGCTCGTAGGTTCGAACTCCCAGGAAAGAATGCATACTTGGAAAGCTCTTGATCAGTTGATTCAGATGGGGGAGATCACGTTTCAACTCTAGATTGGTTCCCTGACTTGTTAAGGGACTATTGGATGATTTGGTGTCGGCTCAGTTTTGGTAGAAACATTCGCCGAGGTGGAGAATTAAAGAATTACAGGAAAACAGCAAAGAAATCAGCAAGGCAGATTGGCGGTTGACCGCCGCGGTCGACCGCGAACGTGCACGAAGACTACCAGAATTCGGAGCTGCTGGCGGTCGACATTTTTTGCTTGCAACGCGTTGACTGGCGTTGACCTAGGGTTATGCGTTGACCGGTGTTAACCCTAGGGATTCGAATTTTTGCTCGCAACGCGTTGAATGGCGTTGACCTAAGGTTACGCGTTGTCTGGCGTAGACCTTAGGGTTTTGAACGTCGTATGTTGCTCAGGTCACAAGACCAACTAAAGAAGCTGATACGTCAGTGACTCTCGTATTTATAGGATTTTTGGCAAATCCTCAGCCATCAACGGGTTTGATGCGCCTTTTGCTGGCGGTCGACCGCGGATGACTGTAAGTGTTTTTACTCTCGGGACTGAGATTCGGTCGACCGCGAGACATGCGCAGTCGACCGCCGCGGTCGACCGTCGATGTTCTGGGCTAGGCTTTCTGGATTTTGACCCGTTTCGTTTCTGAGTTGTATATAACTCACGAACATCGCCCGCTCGAAGCTCACTTGCTCGAAGCTCGACGGTTCTTCGACCTCGTCTGCCAAGCTCCTCAAACTCACCCGAACTTCGACTTCGCCTGCGGGCGTCACCCTCGTCATACCTCGAGCTCGCCGTCGACGCCACCTGCGGAGGTTGGTATCCACACCTCATTCCAACAGTGGCCCCCAGCTGAACAATCCTAGACTCGTCGCAGGCTGGAATTGAGTGAAGAGACCATGCATTCCAGGTAAGGGAATCCGAAGGGGGCTCAACACTCACAGGTCCTCGGTGAATGGTCGTTTGTAGACTAGCTTCGCTGTTTAAAAGTGCAGCATAGAGCAAGGAATATGATGTAATTAATGCACATATTTTTTTAATGCAGAGATACTTTAAACCTATACCATTACCAAAACAGTGGACAAGTGATGGTGCTCACGCTACATCTGAAGAAAGGAATCTATCAATAGCATGTTATACACAACCTCACATTGCTTATTTTATTTTGCATGTTGGGTTTCTAGTATGATGATGATCATTTAGGCAAGTAAGCATTTCTTTTCATTTCTCAGGGAGATTATATTTACATTTTATAACGATCCGAGTTTGGTACCATTTCTCTCGTGCATGATGTATTGCATGTAAAAGTTTCCAGTGTTTTACCAATTTAGAGAGAAATTTCGTTTTATGCAGGGAAGGATTGGGACTCTTTTTGCAGAGGCAAGGATCAATACAAATTGTAAGGGAATTATTGACATTGGTGTGGCATGCTATGGAAGTCTGCTATGTGATTCATTTAATATTATT